TGGCGCCGTGAGCCGGCCCGCCGCTGCCGGCGGGGGAGCGGGCGGGTTTGCGGGCGGGTTTGCGGGCGGGGCGGCGCAGGCCGGGCCCCTTCCCGCGCCGGCGGGCTTGTGCCGGCGGCCGTCGCGGGCTAAAGCCGCGGGCATGATCCGTCTGCTCGTTCTGCTCGCGACTTTGCTGCTCGCCGCGCCGGCCCTGGCGCAGGGGGGCGACCTGCCGGTGGTGCCGCTGCGCATCGTCACGGCCGACGGGGCCCGCCACGACTTCCGGGTCGAGCTGGCGCGCACGCCGGACGAACAGGCGCAGGGGCTGATGTTCCGGCGGGAGCTGGCGGCGGATCGCGGGATGCTCTTCGTCAACCGCCGGCCGCGGGTGGCGAACTTCTGGATGAAGAACACCTTCATCCCGTTGGACATGATCTGGATCGGGCACGACTGGACGATTCTGGGCGCCCACGAGCGGGCCGTGCCCCAGTCCACCGCCCTGATCTCCTCCAACCTGCCGGTCAAGGCGGTGCTGGAGGTGCCCGGCGGCACGGTGGAGCGCCTGGGCCTGGCGCCCGGCGACCGGGTCGAGGTCGACGGCCTGAATTGAGGCGGAAGGCCGTCAAGCCGCTGCGTCAGCGTGCAAAGAGGACCTTGTAACCAACTGAGAATCAGGCTTCCGGGCCGGCTGCCTGAGCCTGCTCCAGGGGGCGCCAGCCCTCGCCGGCGGCCATCAGGCAGCTCAGGCCGCTCGGCGAGGTGACGATGATCGTCCAGGTGCCGTCCTCGCCGCTGGAGAGGACCTCGATCAGCCCGCCGGTGTTGGTGACGCCCAGTGCGACAGGGGCCTCGCTGTACTTGCCCGAGAGGTGCTGCAGGACCTCGTCGCGCTGCTTGCAGGTCGCCGGGGCGGCCTCGGCGTCCTGGGCGCCGGTCAGCGCGGCGGCCAGGCCGGAGGCGAGGGCGGCAAGGGTGAACAGTCGGCGCATGGCGGGTCCTCCGCAAGAGACCGCGACTCGCTCCAACAGCAGAGCGCGAAGTCAGTTTCCGTCGAGAGAGGTTAACGCCGCCCTAAAGGACTTGCGCCGACTTCGCGATTACATCGCCGACAACTTGGCCGAGGCCAGGGCTCAGCGCACCCGCGCCAGGGTGAGGCCGTCGCCGATCGGCACCAGGGAGAGGGAGATGCGGCGGTCGGCGTGCAGGGCCAGGTTGAGCGCGCGAATCGCCTTGGTGTCCGCGTCCTGCTTGTCGGGATCGACGACGCTGCCGCCCCACAGCACGTTGTCGAACAGGATCAGGCCGCCGGGCCGGACCAGCTTCAGGCCGGCCTCGTAGTAGGCGCCGTAGTTCTCCTTGTCGGCGTCGATGAACATCAGGTCGAAGCGCCGCCCCTCGTCCTGCAGCGCCGCCAGGGTGTCCAGCGCCGGGGCGAGGCGCAGGTCGACGCGCTCGGCCACCCCCGCCTCGGTCCAGAAGCGCCGCGCCATGGCCGTGTAGTCCGCGCTCAGGTCGCAGCAGACCAGCCGCGCGTCGGCCGGCATGGCCAGCGCCATGGCCAGCGCCGAATAGCCGGTGAAGGTGCCGACCTCCAGATAGCTGCGCGCGCCGGTCAGCTCGGCGAGGAGCTGCATGAACTGGCCCTGCTCGGGCGAGATCTGCATGCCGTCGCCGGGCCCCGCCGCCGTTTCCCGGCGCAGCCGGTAGAGGATCTCCGGCTCGCGCAGGGAGACCTGCAGCAGGTAGTCGTGCAGGGCGTCGGTCATGCCGAGGGTGCGCGGGGACATGGGCTGACTCCGGTAAGGGGACGGCTCCGATAGGAGGCCGGTGGTAGGCCAGGCCGGCCGCTCAGTAGACCCGCTCGCGGGTCTTGAGGAAGCGGATCTTCGGGTTGTTCTCGGCGGCGTCGTTGAGATGCCAGGCGTTGCGCGCCAGGAAGACCGGCTGGTCGTCGTGGTCGTCGGCCAGGCTCGCCTGGTTGGCGTCGCAGAACTTCTTCAGGGTCTGCGCGTCGTCGCACTCCAGCCAGCGCGCGGTGAACCAGGTGGTCGGCTCGAAGATCACCGGCACGTCGTACTCGGTGCGGATGCGGTCGGC